TGAGACATCTTCCTGCCTCAAGGACCTTTGCACAGGCAGGTCTTCTTGGACTCTCTACCTGGCCAACAGTTGCTCAGGTACAATTTAAGAAGACTGCCTCTGAGACCTCTCCTTTACCCCATAGGACAACAGTCATTAAACCAGCATTTGTGGGTCATCAGGTTAATGCCCGTCTCCCCCCACGTAACCATGAGCTCAGTGAGGACAGGGAAATCCTTGTTTGTCTTGCTCACAGCTATATCCCCAAGGCTGGACCCTACACAGCATGCATCAGGTACTCAGTAAGCACCGAATGCTGGCCAAACTGTTTTTGGCCTGGACCTGGTTTCTTCACTTTGGCCTCACCTAAGTTCCAATCACAGACTGTGTTGCCCCACCCACCTGCCAGTCTCTTCCTGGGCCTCAGAAGGGTCAAGGGGTTCCTTGAACTCAACCACCTTGAATCTTCAACTCTGCCCTTCTATGTGTGTGTGTTGGGGGAGCACAATCACTTCCAAGTCAAACAAGGAAACTGAGTCTCATACTGGGAGAAAACTATGGATTTAAGCTGGGGCCATAGGACAAAAGCCAGGGCCCCTCATCCTGCCCCCTTCCCCTTAACAAACAGACAGACACCCACCATGGGCCTCAGTCTCTCACTGGGGCTCCAGAGAGCAGAGAGAGGAAGGGAGCAGGGAGGAAGGAGCCTGCCAGCTGGAAACCAGCTTTGCCACATGATGGCTGTGAGCAAGTGGCCCCCAGTCTGGGCCTCAGCCTCACCCACTGCGGAGCAGGGTAAGCAGAACCACTCTCAGGACTGCCTTGTCAGAGTTACACCAGCATCACTATCTCAGGACAGCCCCAAAGCAGCCCCTACCACCATCCGCTCACCATTGGGGTAGCCTGAGCCATAATCAGTGTCCAGGTCCTGTAGTTTTTCCACAAACTGCCAGTTCTTCACGGCCTGGTCTCGGGCCACCTGTGGGTAAGACAGGCACTTGAGATGTCCCTCCCTCAGGGCATCCACACCTGCCCCTTGACTAAAGGGATGCTGGGAGCCGGTCATGGACAGCGAGGGGCTAACCTTGGCACAGATGCTGGCAGCACTGACCACAGGATACAGAGCATCTGCCTTGGCCTTGACTGTCACCTCAATGCCGGGAAAGCGCTGCTGCAGCCGCTCTTGGTATGTCTCTGGCATTCCCACAGTGTCCACAAATACCTGCAGTGGTGGCAGAAATGTATTCATTCAACAAACACCGAGACAAACAACTGTGCAAATGAGCCAGCCTCATAACCTTTGCGCTTGCTGTTCCCACTGCCAGGAATATTCTTCTCTTGGCTTGTCCCAGGCTGCATTTTTCTCAGGGGTCTCAGCTCAAGCATCACCTCCCAAGGAGTCTTTTTTTTTTTTTTTGCAGTTCTACAAATTAAACTTTATTTGTTTATTTTTATATCTTTATTGTTGAACCAAAGAGTCTTTTTCTGATCAAGCTGTACTCAGTCTACATTTACTGAGCACCTACTGCATACCATGGGCTGCACTTCATAGTGGGAACAAGGCAATGAACACACCAGACAAAAATCCATGTTCTCATGGAGGGGACACCCTGGTGAGGGCCACAGACAAGGAACAGGGTAAACCCTAGCTGGTTTGGCTCAGTGGATAGAGTGTCAGCCTGTGGACTGAAGGGTCCCAGGTTTATTCTGGTCAAGGGCACATGCCCAGGTTGTGGGCTTGATTGCTAGCAGGGGGTGTGCAGGAGGCAGCCAACCAATGATTCTCATCATTGATGTTTCTATTTCTCTCTCCCTCTCCCTTCCTCTCTGAAATCAATAAAAATATATTTTTTTAAAAAATAAATTGATACAATCTTTTTAAAAAAGAAACAGGGTAAATAATAAAGGGGAGAATTGGAAGAGGCTGTCATTTTTTTTTTTACAATTTTTATTGATTTTACAGAGAGAGGAAGGGAGACGGATAGAGAGGTAGAAACATCGATGAGAGGGAAACATTGATCGGCTGCCTCTTGCATGCTCCCTACTAGGGATTGAGCCCACAGCCCGAGGATGTGCCCTGACTGGGAATCAAACCGGTAACCTCTTGGTTCATGGGTTGACACTTAACCACTGAGCAATACCAGCTGGGTGAAGAGGCTGTCATTTTAAATGGAGGTGGGCAATTCAGGGAAGGTCACTCTGAAGTGATGACATTTGAATAAAGGCCTGGAAGAGATGAAGGAATGAATGAGCCTTGTGGGTGGAGATCTGGGAAATTGTTCTAGGCAGAGGAAACAGCCAGTGCAAAGGCCCTGAAGTGGGGAGGCCCCATGGCCGGAGCAGAGAGGTAAGAGGGAAAGTGATCTCCGTAGCAGTTTTTGTTCTCAGAAATCACCTTTATTATTTGTTTACTAGCTGAACATCCATCTCCCTGACTTGGGCATGAACCCAAGGGCAGGGCCCTTGTCTGTCTGCTCCAGTATGGCATCATCAGCTCCACATTCCATTTCTGGATCTCAGCCACCTCGTCAGCAAGGCCTCCCTGGTTCCATTCCCTCCCTCAAGTGTATTTGCCCATGTCATTCTCTCAAAACAGCTGGTTCTTTGCCTCAGAGCACTCGATACCATGCCAACTTACATTTCTCTCTGGTAATTTAATCTCATTTGCCTCCTCTTGGCTGTGAATGTTCCTGATTTAATTTCCACTGTGCTCAGAAAATTAAATGTTGACATTTACATTAAAAAAAAAAAAAATGACTGTCAGCTGCTGCTGTTCAGGAGCAGGTTGTAGGAGAGGAGGCTGGAAGTGGGGGAACCAGGGAAGAGAATGGGGCAGGCATCCAGGACTGGAGAGTGCCCTGGGCTAGGACAGGTGGACAGATGTGGGATTTGTTCTGGACACTGAGCTTTTAAGGTAGAGATAGAGGGGGTGGGGCTGGGGCCCACCATGGTCCTTAGTGGGTCACATATTTAGGGTAGGAAAAGCAGTAGGAAGTCAACAGCAGCAATACATATTTTTGAGGTATGACATATGTCTGATGCTGAATTGCCCACTGCACTCATACTCCCATTTTCTCCCGAGGTGATCAAATGGAGCAACCCAACAGTTAGCTCACCTGAGCAATGTTGACGCCCTGGTCCAATGCATACTGCACCAGCCCAGCGGCTGTATCATGGGACAGAGAGTTCAGATTATACTTGACCCTGCAGTGGGGAACAGAGCCCAGTCAAACCCATTCTAGCCACCAATCCCTTCCAGTCCAAGTTGGCTGCCCCCCTACCCAGGCCCCTCCTGGGGACCCCTCACCGCCCAAGCATGCTGGTAGAGATGAGGTTTGGAGACAGCACGTCCAGTGCCCAGCCCACAAAGTCCCCATCCTCCTCCATTTTCGCAAATAGCCTGTCCCGCTCGCTCTCCGACAGGGTCTTTGAGTCTGGGAAAAGGGTTGGGAGAGAAGGGGAGCAGCTGGTTCTCCCAATTCTGGCTCTTTCCCTCCAGTTTACATCCGCCCCTGCACATGCCCAGGAACCCCCTTCCCCAGACATACACCAAGGGCTCACCTGCCACTTTCAAGGCCTCCAGATCTGCTAGGCGCGACATGGGACAATAACAAATGGCGTAAACCATGGGGCCTGGAAAAATGGGGTCCAACCAGTGAGCCCATGAAAGCCGCCATCCTTGTTCCATTATCACCACTTTTTCCGGTGCCATCACCAACGCCATGGCTATCACCTCACACACAACGAAACCGGTGCAATCCCGGCTCCCATTCCAGAGCAATGTGCACCCCCCTGATCACGTCCCTCCTCCACCCCAGCCCGGGGGACACACCCAGCACCGGGCCCCGGCCTGCTTCATCGACGCCCAGGACGCACGGCTCCTTGCGGCACACTGCGGGCACAGGCGAGTTCAGGCGACAGCGGCCCGTATTGTCTCTCTCCAGCTCTCTGAGATCCATGCCGCCGAGGCTGCCACTAAGAGCCGCAGGAAGTCGGTCGGCAGGAACCCGGTCTGCAGGCGCAGGTCTCGGCGCGCGTTTTCCGCAGGTTCCTCAGTGGCTGGACCTGACCAATCAGCGCGCAGGACACGCCCCCAAACCTCCCGCCGCCGTGACGTTGGCGCAGCCGACGCCGACGCCGCTGCCGTAGGCCGCGCTGGGAATTGTAGTTCCCGAGGCCCAGTCCAGCGCTCTGACTTTCAGAAACCGGGTAGGAGGGGTCGCTTTCCAAGCCCGGCTCAGAGGTATCCCGAACCTCGCCCGCCGGGGCTGATGGGAGAAGCGGGAATTAAACGGGAAACTGAGCGGAACTGGAAGGGAACGGCCCCGATCAGGCCTGTAAGATGAAATAGCATTACACTCCCAGAACTCCAGTCCCCCACGTGGACTCAGGCCATTTGCCACCGCGATCCCTGTCCCTCCACAAAGTCTAGGCGCCCTGGAGTAGGTGTCCCCACCCCATTGGGCTCAGGCCTTGGACTGCCTCTCTCATCTACCTGCCTCTCGGCACCTCATCAGGATCTCCGCCCGCCCCCCACTAGCCTCTGTCTCATTCGGACGAAGCTTCCCCTTCCTCCGAACCGAGGTCTGAGACCCCAAGACCTCAGAGACTCTTGTATATCAGGAGTCAGTTGTCCCCCACCCCGCCCTTCTCCTCTCCCCCATCTTATTTTCTGGTCTCAGCAGGGCTCATTCCTCTGCCTGGGGGTCCCCAGCTCTCACCAGGCTCATGGCCCTTCCTCGGGGTCACGGCTCCTCCGTCTCTGTTTTCCTCCACTATCTTCCTTTCTGCCCGGATAACGTCTTTTCTGCTCACATCTCCGGACTCAGCTTTCTCCTACCCCCCCCCCCCCCCCCAGCCTCAAGCCCTAGACCTAGGGCCCCAGGTCTCCCTTCCCGATGCCCACCTCCTCTGCGCCCACCCCCACCCACCCCACCCCCGTTCCTCCTTTCTTCCCACCCACCCTGGGGACTTCCCCGCCCACCCGGTCCGCCTCCTCCGAGCCCACCTCTAACCCAGACTCAGGGCCTCCAGTCGCAGTCCATTGGCTTGCAGGATGAACAATCGCGTAACCGGCAGGGCAGCACCTGCACCAGGTCCTCGCGGTCCATGAACACTGGATCTGGCGCTGTGCCCAGCACCTCGCGGCTGCGCTCCTGCTGGCCCAGGTCGCACAGACAGCGCCACTTTCCCCACGGGCCAAGGATGGAGTCCTCTGCGTCTAGGGATGGAGGGTCAGGTGTATGTGTTTGGGGGAACCTATGTACCCCTAGACCCTCCTCTAGGGAGGGAGGAGGCTAAAAACACTGACAGCAACAGTTCGTTGTTGTTGTTTTTAATGTTTTTAAATTGATTTTAGAGACAGAGGGAGGGAGAGGGATAGAAACATCAATGAGAGAGAAACATTCATCAGCTGCCTCCTGCATGCCCCCTACTGGGGATGGAGCCCACAACCTGTCTGTGCCATGAGGAAATCAAACCGATAACATCCCTGGGTTGCACGGGAGGAGCAACAGTTCATGTTTGCAGTGTTGTGCTTCTGTGCCAGGTGCCTCCCATGGATGATCCCATTAGCCCCAGGTGGGGACACAGACCTAGAAAGAGCAAGCCACCCTTCCCAGCTCACACAGCTGGTGAGTGACCCAGAGAGACTGCACACTGGCACCTCCCACCTGTGCCAGTTAAAACTGTGGCACGACACCCTTTGTGCCCACCCTCAGACGCTGATTCATCTTCAGGGACATGTGACACCTGACCAGCAGGTCTATCAGTTGGTAAATTAAATGACATGATTAGCATAATAACAATACTTAAAGCCCCTGGCACTGGGCTAGCTGGAGGAATAAAAACAATGAGCGCGATCACTTTTAAAACAACTACAATTTACGGAGAGCGCTTACACTCCCCCCTTTACAGGGTTCTTTAACTGACAGGGTGCTTTGACTGACTTCTCCCTAGCCTCTATGCGACAGGCCTTAACTCACCAAACCTCCATCACAGAACACTGGCCTCTTTCATTCTTCTTGCAACAGTGATAAACTGTAACCCACCCCGCCATTCCTTTGACATTGTTTCTGCAGATGGTGACTGGACGAATATGTAACTTGTAGGTAAACAGCATGTTTGTAAAATAATCCTAGGAACTCTCTCACATTGAATACTCTCTCTCTCTCTCTCTCTCTCTCTCTCTCTCTCTCTCCCTCCCCCCCCCCTCCCTTCCACTCTCTCTGAAAAGCAATGGAAGAACATATCTTCAGGTGAGGATTAACAATAACAACAACAAAAAGAATCAGAGGGACTAACCTCAGAAGATACAGACTCTGGCCTACAGTCATCCCAGCTCTAGGAGAATTGTCGACCTTCAGTGGTAAAACCAGGATCATGCTCACCAGACCATCACTTGACCAGTTTTGAGGTTCTTATCAGAATGGACTCTGCTGGTCTTCCAGGAGAGAACTTTTCAACCCCCGCCCCTTGAGCTCTTTGTCCTGCTTTCCCTCTCCCTCCTTATAAAAACCTCGGCCAGCCCTGACCGGTTTGGCTCAGTGGATAGAGTGTCAGCCTGCAGACTGAAGGGTCCCAGGTTCGATTCCGGCCAAGGGCATGTACCTTGGTTGCGGGCACATCCCCAGTGGGAGGTGTGCAAGAGGCAGCTGATCGATGTTTCTAACTCTCTATCCCTCTCTTCCTCTCTGTAAAAACATCAATAAAATCGCCAAAACCGGTTTGGCTCAGTGGATAGAGCGTCGGCCTGCGGACTGAAAGGTCCCAGGTTCGATTCCGGTCAGGGGCATGTATCTGGGTTGTGGGCACATCTCCAGTGGGAGATGTGCAGGAGGCGGCTGATCAATGTTTCTCTCTCATCGATGTTTCTGACTCTCTCTCTCCCTTCCTCTCTGTGAAAAATCAATAAAATATATTTTAAAAAATACTTCTAAAAACCTCGGCCCGCTCTGAGATGTGCAGATGGGCTTTTCAACAAGAGTCCCCTATCTTCTCAGGTGGTCAACACTTGAATAAACCTCTTTCTTTTTTCACCAGCATCTATCTCACAAATTTGACTTTTGTGGCAGCAGGCAGCAGAATCTGGGTTCCGGTTACATTCCATCAGGCCTTCTGGCCTTGGCACATGCTTTCCCCGGTCCGGGGCAACACTCTTCCCCCTAGATCTTTGCAATTTTTGCTTTTCTTGTCACGTCAGCTACATTGGTTACCTATCTTCTTCAGCCAGGCCTGCTCAGGCTTCAGAAATTGACCTGCTACCTTCTTTCTCTGTCTCTGCGCTTCCTACCACGTACCCGTGTGCTTACGGATGTGTCTGCTTGGGTCCAGCTCACGCCCCCGCTCCACGTGTAAGAGGCTGAAAGGCAGTCTCTATTTCCGTTTACAGATGAGAAAACTGAGCCTCGGGGAAAAGCGACCAGCCCAAGGGACGCCGTCAAGTGCGAGGCTGGGCGGAGATCTGAAATCCACCGAGGAGGGTCCGTTTGCAGCCAGCTGGCAGAGTGGGGCCATGGGGCACCTTTCCCGCCCGCAGTTACCTTTCCCCAGAAGCTGCAGCCGCAGCTGCTCCCAAGTGTCGCCTTTGCCCCGCTCGCCGAAGTAATGGTAGTCGGGGGAGACCTGCGCCGGGGTCGCCAGCAGCAGGAGCATCAGAGGCGACAGCAGTAGCGCAGTTGAGCTCCGGGCCATGCGGGACTCCAACCGCTCCCGGCGCGCTCCGGGGGGGCCGAGCCCCGCGCGGGATCTGCGGGGCCCTCACTGCCCTCACGGGTGGGCACAGTGGGCGCGGCCCGCGGCTGCGCGGCTCCCCCAGACCCGGCCGCCGGTCCCCCTCCCCTAGGGCGGCGGTGGACCCGACCGCTCCTCCCGTCACCACGCCCCTCCCTGAGCGTCACGGTTCCGGCCGCGCATATAAGGCTCCGCGGCCCCGCGCTCACTTGGCGCTGAGAACGCGAGTCCACGCGGGTCTGCTGGTGTGCGCGTCCCATCCTCCCCCACGCAGGTAGGGACGCCTGGAGCGCACGGGGCTGGGGGGAGCCCCCTGGGAGCCTCTCCGGCCCTCTCCAGGCCTCGGCCTGGCCGCCTTTGTTTCCCACCCGCCTTGGTGGCCGCCTTTGTCCTTGGGGTGGGCTGGGGAATCGAGGCCGGAGTTCGGCGTGCTCCCCGCCCCCTGCTCCCGGGGGCTCCTCCCGGGGTTGCTCCCGGGGCGGCGAGCCCGCGCCACCGCATTGAGGTCACTTTGCTCATGGGAGGCCGGGCGGCAGCGGCTGGGCCGCTCTTGTTGGCCGGGAGGGAGGGGTCCCCCGGGGTCCAGAAGCCGCGGACAGTCGGTACCGAGGAGGGTTCCGGACAGGGCCCCTGCCTTCGCCCTCTGACTCGGCCCCCGGGCCCAGCACGCAGCGTGACCTTGGGAAGGAGGACAAGGGTCTTCCCGGGCGCACTGACCAGGCAGGAGGGGGCGGGGGGTCTCAGCTTTCAGTCATGGCCTCCGGCAACGCGCACATTGGCAAGCCCGCCCCGGACTTCCAGGCCACCGCCGTGGTGGACGGCGCCTTCCAGGAGGTGAAACTCTCCGACTACAGAGGTGAGGCCGGCCTGGAGGGGGCCCGGGTGGGGGCGGGGCGCGCGCGCCGGCGGCGCAGGGCCCTCACTCGCCATTCCCTCCCCCTCCAGGGAAGTACGTGGTCCTCTTCTTCTACCCGCTGGACTTCACCTTCGTGTGCCCCACCGAGATCATCGCCTTCAGCGAGCACGCCGCGGACTTCCGCAAGCTGGGCTGCGAGGTGCTGGGGGTCTCCGTGGACTCGCAGTTCACCCACCTGGCTTGGTAGGAGTGGGGGCCCGCAGGGAGGGGGGGGGTGCAGCCAGACCTCTACCTCTACCGGGTCCCAGCTGTGTGTTCTAGTGTGGCCTTGCTCAACCTCTGCACCTCCCTTCCCACATCTTGAAAATAATGGAAATAATGACGCCCAAGTCCTTAACGATGATGACAGCAGTAATTAGCTTTTGGAATCTAGTTGCTTGGTGTGAAGTTGCAAACGCTTTATCTCACTTAGGGCAAAGCAGCCTCCCTCCCAGGAACTATTTCAAGAAGGTGGCAACTCCAGTTCAAGGGAGTGGAGGGCTGGGCTCCAGAGCCAAGCTGGAGAGGAGGATGGGCGCTTTGCCCCAGGAGGCTGGTGACCACCAGCACATATGAAGCCACTTGGTTGGAATGAGAGCGTTAGCTTAGTCTTCCCAGCTGTGGGAAACAGTCCCTGCACCTGCATCAGGGTGGAGTGGGTGGGGCCTCCAGGGCCTTGCTCCAAAGCCCCTTATCTCTCTCCTCCAGCACCCCGTCTCCAGCCCTTATCACACCCAGGTCCACAGGGTGAGTGCCCTGCTGTGGCAGGCATCCTGAGGTCCCAGCCCTGTCTCCCCTACTCCCAGGATTAACACCCCCCGGAAGGAGGGCGGCTTGGGCCCCCTGAACATCCCCCTGCTGGCTGATGTAACCAGAAGTTTATCCCATGATTACGGCGTGCTGAAGGAAGAGGATGGCATCGCCTACAGGTAATGGGGTCCTCAGGGTGAGGCGACCACTCTTGGGCAATGCCCTCCCTGCCATTAGCCCTGTGGCTGGAAGGGAGATGGTGTTCCCTCCCCCCGCCCGGCCATTGGGAGCTACCAGCTTTTCACTGTGAACCCTCATATCTTCAGGGGCCTGTTTATCATCGATGGCAAGGGTGTCCTTCGCCAGATCACTGTCAACGATTTGCCTGTGGGACGCTCTGTGGATGAGGCTCTGCGGCTGGTCCAGGCCTTCCAGTACACGGATGAGCACGGGGAAGGTGAGTACACACACATGCCCCTCTCTGTCACTCATGTAGACATTCACTGCCTGCTTTATCACCTATGTAACATGGATGTGCAGGCCCCATAGAAGGTTTGGCTCAGGGCCTCATCTGCAGGAAGTTTCTAGTCTGATTGGGGAGATACCCCAGTACGAGGGTGGGTAGCTGGGAGGTAATATAGAAAAGGTATTTGAGAAGATGTGTGCCACAGCAGGCTTGAATAAAATTAGTTGGGATCAGACTACCTTCGTGGGTGGAGGACACAGCTTGACCGTAGCCTCTCAAAGTCTACTAGGGGTGGAGCTGAGGGAAAAAGATGGGGCTAGAGGGGCCAAAAAAGAAATAAAAATATCAGCTACAAGCCCTGCACTTGGACTTGGGGGCTTCTGTCAACATGTGGTCTTAGGCCTGGACCACTTGGCTCTGGGCTTTTTCTTCTGCAACTCGGGATCTCACCTTGCCTCTCACTGCTGCCCTACCTTGAATATGGGTCTGTAGCCTCACATGTGCATCCTTGTGTCTTCCCACAGTCTGTCCCGCCAACTGGAAGCCAGGTAGTGACACGATCAAGCCCAACGTGGATGATAGCAAGGAATACTTCTCCAAACACAGTTAGGCTGGCCGACAGATGCCAAGCTTCGGCTCTCGGCCCCCACCTGTGTGCCTGTGCTGGCCCAGGAAAGGCCAGGCCTGCCCCTTCAAATTCCTCAGTCCTGACCCTGAAGGGCTAGGCCAAGGCCTTCTTATATTCCTAGCTGAGTGGTGAATGGTGACCCATTGCTGGAACTCCCCAACCGGGCACAGGCCTAGCGGTGACCAATAAAGTATTAGGGACAGTGTGAGTCTGTGTTGGTGTGGTCTGTTCTGCTGTCTTGTCAGTCCATATTCCGCACCCCCTTCCCCTAAGCTCTGGCCTGAGAAACTGACACTGTAGTTACTTATCTGCACCACAGGGTGGCAGTGTTATCTCATGTACACTGTTCTCTCTCACCTTTGGCCTAAGGGCAGTTGGGGGGGATGCTGTTTGCCCATCGCCAAGAGCCAGTCCCTGAACATGGCCTTGCAGGGCAGTCCTCACATCTTGCCATCAGCCAGCCTGGTTCAAATGTTATTTTAAGAGATGTGATCTTTCCTGGTTTTCTTCATCAGGAAAATGAAAATAAAGACAACCAAGCCAGATCACCATGCATGTTAAAAGAGATAAAAGTATGGCCCTAGCCGATTTGGCTCAGTGGCTAGAGCCTCAGCCTGCAGGCCAGAGTCCCGGGTTCAATTCCGGTCAAGGGCACATGCCTTGGTTGCAGGCTCCTCCCCTGGTCAGGGCTCATGCAGGAGGCAACCAAATGATGTGTCTCTATCTTTCCCTCTTTTCCACTCTCCCTAAAAATCAATGGAAAAATATCCTCGAATGAGGATTAACAAAAATAAAAATAAGAGATAAAGTATATAAAGCTCAGGGCCCAGTGACTGGTTACTAGGGAGGGTTCCTGGGCCTGGAAGAAGAGTCCAGTTTTATGGGAAAGAGGATGGGGACCCAGTCTTGAGACCATAGCCAAGAGTGGGAGCTCCAGGCCCTGGCCAGGTAGCTCAGTTGGTTAGATCAGTGGTCGGCAAACTGCGGCTCGCGAGCCACATGCGGGTCTTTGGCCCCTTGAGTGTGACTCTTCCACAAAATACTGACTTCTGCGTATGGGCCACGAAGTTTCAATTGCACTGTACGTGCACGCCCGCACGTGGTATTTTGTGGAAGAGCCACATGTGGCTCTCGAGCCGCAGTTTGCCGACCACTGGGTTAGACCAAATACACCAAAGTTGGGGATTTGATCCCTAGTCAGAAGCAACCACTGAATACATAAGTGGAACAGCAAATCGGTGTTTCCCTTCCTCTCTAAAAGTTTTTTTTTTTTAAGTGGGAACTTGAGCTACGTGCTTGGTGAGCAAGCTCTGCCCCCCGCCCCCTCTGAAGTTTGAAAGAACTGCCTGTCAGCCCCTAGGATGGAAGGGTGAGGGTTAGGCTGGGAGGCAGGAGGCAGTGTCAGGAGCAAGGCAATTTTCCCAGGAGTGCAGTTTGATTCTGTATGTGTCCAGGCAAGTGCCTTTGCCACCCTGAGCCCATATTTACTTCCACAGAACAGGACCGACAAGCTCATTTAATCCAGACCCATTATTAATATTGCCGCCCAGCCCAATACCCACCGAAGTCACTAATCTCAGCCTTGGGATTTTATCTGCACGTCTCCCCAAGGCCCTGTGTGGTCTTCCCTGACCTCAGCTCCACCCTCCTGGTTTATTCTATTCCAGGCACACTGGCTTCTTATTGTTCCTTAACAGGCTGAGCTTGTTCTGGCCACAGGAACTGCACGTGTTCCCTCTGCCCAGAATGCTGTTACCCAGGTTCTGCCGGGGCTGGGCTTCAAATCTGGTCTCATTAAAGGCCTATGTCCCCCATCTGTTCTCCAAAGCAGCTCATCTACCCTGCCCCGCTTTCACCTGTGTCTTCTTTTCCTAGCACTTGCCACCATCTCGGGATCATTCTTTCCGTGTTTATTGTCTATCTGCCTGCTGTGGTCTAGGCTGTGTCTCCAGGGCTGGGTGGTTCAGGACTTTAGAAATGAATGAAGTGTCTGTTCTGTCCATCCAGCCCCTGTGGGCTGGTGTCTCTGCTGTTCCGAGTGCTGCCAGCTCCGAGGCTGCGTCCACTAGCTGCCCACAGACCAGTCACAGCTGCGGGGAAAGGCGCCCCGCGCCAGAGCGACGGAGGCGCGGCGGCCTGGCCAGCCACCCCGGCAGGACCAGACTTGGCAGTCGCCCCGATGCTGGCCTGGCACCGGGAGGGGAAACTGGCAGGCGGGCGCCGCCCTTCCTGGCGGAGGTGAGGGGGACCGCGGCGGCAAACGCGCGGGCAGCAGC